GTTTACCATTAAGGAGTTAGCCTACTGCTTTAATTCAGCTTCAGAATGAATATTTCTCACAGCCACGCATACAAGTGTGTCATATGCCGATGTTTTAACACAGTGCAGCCACACAACATCAACGTCAATTTCACGAACTTGTGGCGACACATCCTGTTTTGGTAACCGGATATTTCAAAATAAAAGTCTGATTTAATTCAGTTYRTRWWYAAATCAAACTTTTGCGTGGGAACGCAAAACAATATTACGAGGTAATGCATAAGTATTGCAAGGTAACGCAAAAGAAAAATATCCCCCCATGTCCCCTCGCGGGCTCCGTAATTTTGACACCTGTGTGCTCGCCTCTGACAGAAAACATTCAAGGAATATGTCCAAGTCTAAAAAAATAAATAAACAAACAGGCTGTTGATAAATGATATTTGTTGAAAATCTGGTTCAAATCTCAGCARCGTACTTCAGCAGATTAAATTCTAAATGTGGGAGGGGCTGCCCGGTGAACACAGTTTTCCAAACTGCACACTAAAACAAGCCGTGATTTTCAAGAACTGGACTTGTTGGTCAATTAGTCGCAAACTCTGAGTTCAGTTAGACTGCAGCACGGAGGATTTTCTTCCCCAACTAGTCTCCCATCAGTCGCAGCTGTATGAGATACCTCCTTTCCAGGGTTATTTTTCATTATTGCACCTCCTCTCTGTACTTCATTCATTTTATGACATATTTCCTGCTGCACTGAAGTAACAATGTCTGTTTTTTTTTTGTCTTTTTTAAGCTTTTTGTTTTCCTTTGCTTTCAGATTTCTGTCCCTCCTTTTCTCTCTTTGCGCCGATAATCTTTTAATATAGCCCGAGACCTGAATTCGCCTTAAAGCCGGGAGCCTTYGCATAGCATTAGCAATAATGTAGTTGATAGCACTTACATGGGAGATGACACCTCCAGCCACAATGACAGCGTTGCGCTAAGAGATAGCAGATAACGGCCAAGGTAGTGTGATGAGACTGAGTAGAATCAATACTTGAAGACAAAGAGGGGTTTGGTCTCTCAGCTCAGGAAATTGTTTGTTCTGCTCCACGTGTGTGTGTGTATGTGTGTGTGTATTGACAGTCATGTTTTTGTGCCAGTTAGTGTGCGAGCAGGATGTGTGTGCGTGTGTGTGTGTGTGCGGGTGAACGTTTAGGAGCAGCATTTGATTTCAGTGGACCTGCCTCCCAACTCGCCTGCCTATCTCTACGGACAAGCCATCTGTTTCCCAGTGCGTGGTGTTCTGTACTTAGAGAGGAGGAAGAGGAGAGCAGGAGCTAAACCAGTGGGCGGGGGGTGGTGGGGGTAAAGGAATGGCACAGGCATGCAGTGGATGGTGGATGGGGTAGAGTTGGAATCAGTGTGTAAAGGTGCTTTAAGAAAGGGGAAGAGTTTTACGAGTATCAGGTAGCTAATGTTATTAAGACCGTAGATCAGCCTAACAGCTCAGTCTGAGTCCCGCCAGACCTCTGCAGCATCTCCAAACTGTCATCCTTTTTTTTCTGTGTGTTTATTCTCTAATCTCAAACATGTCTTTAAATAATCATGACCTTGTTTTACATCGTTTTCTTTCCACTTTACTTTGTTCATGACTTTATCTCATTTTGCATGTGAACAAAAAAGTTGCTTTCACAGCTTGTACCACCTTCCTGCCTCTTGCATGCCTAGACAACATTCTTTACAGACTGTGTGTGTGTGTGTGTGTGTGTGTGTGTGTGTGTGTGTGTGTGTGTGTGTGTGTGTGTGTGTGTGTGTGTGTGTGTAAGAGAGAGACATAACGGGATGTTTTGTGCTTGCAGGAGGGTGTAAAGGACAAAGAAAAGATGAAAGAAGATGGCACAGGTATGAATAGGGAGACGGGTTTTCTCAATGGCTTGTAAGTTGATTMGTTTCTCTCCGTTTTCTTCACATTTATTTGTTGCCTTGTTTCTCACTGTTTCAGCCTTGGAAGGGGACCAGTCACCCGAGGAGAGGGATCAGATGGGCGAGGGCTTGTCGGTGCCTGCGTCAGTGTCTGTGGCTGGCACGGGAACTGAGGGTCTGCTCGTGGTGGGTGAAGAGGCTGGATCAGGGGAACGAGTCCTGCCAGAGCACGGTGCGAGCTCCTCGCAGGGGTTGGCCTGCTCCCTGTGCAAACGGCTGTTCAGCAGCCTGGAGCACCTCAGGGAACACGAGTACCACCACACCCTGTCTCTCATGGCCCTGTCCCTGGACTGGCCGAGCGCGCAGAGTCCGCTCCACCAACCTGTCCAGCCCCGTCCCGAGTCCCAGCCCCAGCCCCCCTACTACAGCCAGCCCCTGTACCGCCCCGCGCTGGGCGAGCCGGCGCCGGCGCGCTACTTCTGCTCCCGCTGCCCCGCCAGCTTCACCCTCAAGTCCAATGCCGACCGGCACGAGAAGACCATCCACTTCAAGAAGAAGCTGATGCAGTGCACGTACTGCCTGAAGCACTTCCGGGACCGCACGGACCTGCACCGGCACCTGTCGTCCGTGCACTCCAGAGAGCGGGGTCACGCCTGCCCGGCCTGCGCCAAGGCTTTTAGCACCCAGAAAAACTTGGCGACGCACGTTAAAGTGTGCTGCCAGGTGGGGCTGCTGCCAGCAGCTATACTGGGAGACAGCGCTGCAATGGAAATGTCTCAGGGTGGACTTACAGATCCACTGTGGAGGCTAACTCAGCACATGAAAGTTGACAGTTTTAACAGCAGTATTGATGTGGAAAGCCTGTAAAAACACACTTTTATACCCATTTGTTCATTTGGCAGTGTTCCTTCACTTTGTGTTTAACGTTCATGCCAAAAAAAAGCATTGTGATGTTACTGCGCTTTTTCAATCTAAAGTGTGACCCATATTTTTTACAACTTGTTGACTAATTTTTTTTATGTTACTGTGTTAGAGTGACCTAATGAAAAGTGACACCTTATTTGTCAGAAATGCACAGCTTCTATGCAAAAAGAATTTGACTAAAGAAAACTTTTGACCCAAAGCTCACGCAGTGTTTTAGGATGAGTAGGTAGTTTCAATGAGCGTCGACTGTACCCATAACCAGGTGAACTACTTTAAACTGCAGTGCCGAACGGAGAGGCGTTTGGGGGGATTTTTTCCACCTCCTCAAACAAAAACACTTATCTGGCTCTGTCGCCAAGCACCGTTCTGAACTTTTGAGTCCTTTTTAGGCAGACAGATGTTAATCTCTGCTGACCACCCCTGCACTGCGCACACAAGATATTCAGAGTTCATACCTGTCAGGCATGGTGTCTCCCAGCCCCAAACGAACCGCTCCACCTGCAGGATCTTTGCAGCATTGCAGTAAAAAATAAGTTAAAAAAAAAAACAGAAATTAGGCTTTTGCGTTGAAATATTTTTGCAGTGGCTTGAGGGAAATTTAGAGTGTAAAAATAGCCAAAGTAACAAAGGAATTCTGCGACTGCATTGCAGCGATTCTTGTTTTCAGTCATCTTGTCTGACATGACTTCACTCAGACAGAGCTGTCAGATCGGCACAGATGGAAGGGATGTGCGGATCGAGACAAAGCCTGTTAAAACAATAGGCTGGTAGCAGCTCAGATGGGGTTGGGTGGTGTCATTTACTTTTCTTTTTTTTTTTTTTTTTTTTTTTTTTGGGCAAACCAACTCCTCTGTTCCAGATTTGTAAGTCTGGTTGTGGCTGAGTGGGCTAGGACCTAGACGGTAATTGGTCCTTCACGGCTCCGGCCCCTCTTAACCTCTGACCTCGCATCTGACGTGGAAAGTAGGGACCGATGGGGGCGTGGAGGACCTTTTAAACCTGACGAGCTTAGTGATGTCACGCCCGCGGAGCGATAATGGTGCCGGGGTTGTGTGCTCGGAGCAGAAAATGGGGAATCAAGTGGGAGAAATGGGAGAGGATGAGGGAGGCGGTGAGGRCTCCGCCACTGCCGTTCATGTAAATTTATGCCCATTTCTGCCAAAATCTTTGGCTTTGAGTTTACAGCAGCCACGCAACCGAAGATTCTCTCGAGACAATCTATTTATTGACGCCCATATTGTGACTACTATAMCCATAGAGCAGACATCTGCCTGCTTTTACCTGTCTAGGTGCTCCAAAAATATAAAATGAGCTAAACTTRACTCCGCTGCAGTTGTTTATGTAAGTTATATATGCAAGGGAAACTCCCAAATGCCAAATACATCATAAAAAAACATTTTCAGGTAGCCTGTTCTGTGGCAGCCAGCAGCTGAAACAGACTGATGGATCTCAGGAACTAACGAGAAAATCTGCAGCGCTTGAAGAGAAGTAGGAAATAAAAAGTGTCTGACTGTGGTGTGGTACTTTTGATTTTCAGTAAGTGTTGATGTACGAACAGAAAGCTAGGTTAAATACTGTATTACTGAAACCCATGTACTGTTCAGAGATCTTTCTTTTCTTTTCTTTTAAACATAATCTTTCTCTAATTGTAGATTTTATGATGTGAATAAATTGTGATTCAAACTGTAGAATGTGCTCCAGTCGTCGTCTTGTTTTCCGTACACAAACACACACGTTCATAACAATGCTTCGCAGTCTGGATGCCTGAATCAGTTGCCCAGTTCATTTTGTTTTTGTATGTTTGTGTGTGTTCTTTTATATATATATWTTTWTGTTGTTGTTGACATGTTGTCGGCCGTTTGATCAGAGCAGAAGCGGTTGGAGGTAATTTCTTTGTGTCACCTTCCATCTCCTCCTCGTGTGTTTAACAGCCCTCCTCTCCGTGCAGTAGACGTGGACGGAGCGTGTTGTGCTTTTATACTGCGAAATCTCGTCCTGATCTTTTATATTAATATACAGTATCCTGCTTTGAGTAATTCAATGTCCTTCCCTTTGTGCAGGTGATTTGATTTTCTTGTCTGTGTTTGCCTTTCTGTCTGTGTTTTTTTTCCTCTCCTGTTCATTGTAAAGACCTTGTAGAGCAACCCAAGGCAGACTGACTGTTGTGCCATGTGTTTATAGTATCTCTATGCCTTTATTGCTTTAGTATGAAGGAAGAGCTGTTGCCAGGGCAACTGTAGCTTTGACTGCGATTGGGATGACCATGGGAATTGATGTTACATTTCTAGCCCTTGCTTGCTAATTAAATGCAATAACTGAAAAGAGAAGCCGTGCTCATTTATTTCTTTATTTGTTTTTTTTACTGAATGAGTTTCTTTAAAACTAACCTCTTTTTATTTTCTCCTCCTCTCCTCCCTCCCTCCTCGCTGTCCCTGCAGTGAACGACTTCACGGTGATCCGCAAAAAGTTCAAGTGCCCCTACTGCAGTTTCTCTGCTATGCACCAGTGCATCCTGAAGAGGCACATGCGCTCGCACACAGGTGAGAGGCCCTACCCGTGCGAAATCTGTGGCAAGAAGTTCACCCGAAGGGAGCACATGAAGAGGCACACGCTGGTGAGTGCCGAGCCACCGAGTTATCCCCCTGTAGAGGGGGCATCATATGGGATAAAACTTGTGCCAGCAGGAACTGAATTTGAATTGTTCAGATTGAATCTGAATGTGCATAATTTGAAATAGAATGCATTGGTTTGAAACTGTATTTTGGTTTATTAAAAATTCAGTTTGACAACTATCACTTTCAGTTCCAAAATTCAGATTTCTGTGTCACACATCCTGGTCCTTGAGAAAGCCAGCCAGAGTAATCAAACACAGATCCACTGATTTACGTTTCACTTTGGTGAAGCTTCCCTTCAGTATGTAACAGAGTTATGCAATCCATTGTAAAAGTGACAAAAACAGACAAAGTTATTTTATTGCAGTGATTAATTTTAACTGAATGTAGAAAATGTTACATTTACATCACATCATGGATCACATATTGATCAGATGCTGCTGCTGACTGATCCATGACGGGATGTAAATGTAACTCTTTCTATAGGTAAAATTAATCACTGCAATAAGATAACTCTGTTTTTGTCACTTTTACAATGGATTGCATCAACTGTGTTACATACAGAAGRRAAGCTTCACCRAAGTGAAACRTAAATCTGTGGATCTGTGTTTGATTACTCTGGCTGGCTTTCTTAAGGACCAGGATGTGTGACACAAAAATCAGAATTTTGAAAGTGAAAGTAGACAAAGTGAATTTTTAATAAAGCGAAATACAGTTTCAAAGCAAATTAATTCAGATATAAAATTTTAAATTCTGTTTCAATTTAGAGAAATTTGTCTTCAAACAATTGCGTTCAGTTTCAAATTATGCACATTCAGATTCAATCTGAGCAATTCAAATTCAGTTCCTGCTGGCACAAGATTTATCCCATAGCATCACATCACACCTCTGCTGGGAGGTGTAAGTTAAAAGGAAACAAATTGTGAACCTGTGTTGATCTCCGCCGCCGCAGGTCCACAGCAAAGACAAGAAGTACGTGTGCAAAGTGTGCAGYCGGGTCTTCATGTCGGCGGCCAGCGTCGGCATCAAGCACGGCTCCCGGCGCCACGGCGTCTGCGCYGACTGCTCCGGCCGGGGCATGGCGGCGCTGCTCGACCACGGCGGTGAGGCGGGCGGGGATATCTCCCCCGAGGAGGAGCTGTACCCCGGGGACCGCTTCCACGAYGACCAGGCCGAGTGCGACGGCGACGGCGAGGAGGAAATGATGGCGGAAGGGGAYGGCGAGATCCTGGGGGATGGGGAGGAGGACGGGGGGAAGTGGAAGGACTCAGGGATGGGCGCCGAGGCGCACCGAGCGCTGGACAATGAGAAGGAGGAGAGCGACTCCTCGGCCCAGGAGGGGGAGCAGCAGAACGGGAGCGAGAAGGACTTTGCCTGGATCTCTTAGGGGGGGCTACTGTCAGGGGCTTCATCGACCGATCTCTGAAGATCTTTAGCGATCTCTCAGGCAGGTTCCTCTGCTCTCTTTACCTGTCGGTCCTCCTGCGGGCAGGCCTTCCTCTGAGCCGAGACGCTGTAGGGTGTTGCACGACAATGATCATCACAGATGCACACGAACACACACACTGACGCAAACACACCTTAGTCTCAAGCCTCACTGCCATAGAAGAAGAGGAATCAAGAGACGGCTTGAGTTGCGAGTTTTTTGTTTTTTTTTATAACTTTTTCCTGCTTACCTCCTTTACTTCAGATGCAGTGTTCTTTTCTGTTCCTTTTCTCTCGGGGGTTCAGGCCAGCAGTCCAGCAGTTTTCTACTCTGTCGCAACAGGAATCAGCGAGGAGGCTGCCGAGGACGCGGCCGATGCTATAGTCTGCAACTTTGTACGTTTGCCATCACAATCACTATGGAGACCCAAGGATCACAGACAGTGGGTGGGGGGGTGGGGGCAGGAGGAAACGGGTGTCTTGTTTCCTCCTGGACTGGATCGTTTTTTCCATAGAGAGAGAAAAAGAAAGATGGGGTCCCTCTATGAATGAAGGGAGAATCTTAAAATCTATTGCAAACATGTGAGTGTCGGGGGGTGGGGTAGGTGGGGTACTGGGAGGTCCGGCAGCACCCTTTTGATGCAGAGTCCTACTGCCACAGACTTGCACTTTAATGACAACTGACTCCTATCAAAGTCCTGAACCCATGGTTTACATTTTATGATCTGATCTTTACTTACCTGAACAACTCGGTGACCGCACCTACCTTTAAGGATATATTTCTATGTCCTCTTGACTGTTATCACGATAAATATATAGAAAAGAAAAAAAACCTGAATCTTTGTGCAGATTGCTGTTAATATAGCCTATGCCTTTCAGTGGGGTCCTTAATCTTTTCTTCTTCTCTTTAAGTTGGTTTCTACTGATCCATTCCAACAGATTCTGCAGATTTGACAAATTGTACATACAGTTTCTTCAGAAAGGGGGGGTAATGAAGGCTGTGTGAGACAGAGGGAGACAGAGAGACTAAACAAGACTCTGGCCTCGTGTGTGTGAGAGTTTTAAACGTATTATTAAAACAAAGTGGACACTGGTGGCTGCTTTTTCTGGTCCTAAAGTTAAGCACACTAACGGCGCTCTCTGTCTCTGGCTGTCTCTCTGGTTTCGGTGTGACACTGGAGGTTGTTAGAAGAAAGAGAGCAAAAAAAAAAAAAAGGACCTGAGAGCCAAGTCTCTCACACGTAAAGGAAGAACTGCCTTTGTCCTTTTTTTCTTTCTTTCTTTTTTTTTTTTTTTTAAACAGATTCTTTTTCTCTCCTCAGACTTGTCGTTTCAGTTTCTTAACTCGGATATATGCAGACTATTTTCACGGTTGAACTTTTCCTTTTCCTTTTTTTTCCTTGTTTCGTGATCTGGTTTCTCCAGTTTTTTTGAGGTTTTAAGAAAAAGGATCAAAATTGTGCTTGAAAAATCCAGAGTTTTCAGTATTTGTAGAGTATGTAATGTTAATTTGTTATTTATTGAGAAAAAGTATCTGTGGATTTCTGATTTATGAGAAGTCGTTCCTTCCTTTCCTTTTTTCCCCCCTCCTTAATGTGTGTGTTGTGTGAACAGGATGGGTATTTAAATCCAAGAACGAGTGGCTGATGTCCCGTAAAAGATAAAAAAAGAAAAAAAAGTCTACACTGATTTTTTTTAAATATATATATTATTTTTGAGGACTCTGAAAAAGTTGTTGACAATTCAAGTGAGGCCGATGACATGTCTTAATATTATGAATATCGGAACTATGATTATTCGTTGRTGTGCTTCTTACTATTATTAATTATTATTATGAAGTGCTGGATGCTAAGCTTTATTGTGTGTTTCTGTTTTTTATATTTTATATCTTGTACAAAAAAAAGCTTTTATACTTTGCCTTGTTGTGGACAGCAAGCCATGGGGCTTTTAGTGACCTTTTATTGTGCCAATTTATGCTTTTTTCCGTCGTTTTGCCTTTTTTTTTCCTTTCTGCCTTTGTTACCAAGAGGGGAATCCACATTCACTATCCAACTGTTAGATATCGATTGAGACATTTATTCAGCAGAATCTTTTCRTATCACTAATGTACACAAATTGATTAATAATGAACCAAAAACAGTCTTGTATCGTTCACAGTCTATTTTATTATTTTGGTTCTTTTTTGTGATTTAGTTGTTGGGTTGGTTTAGACTTTTGAATCCTGTTTGTTAAAAGTTTGGTTATTTTTGTTTTAGATTGTGAAAATGAACGGCTGTGTGAAAGTACCAGTTAGATACGGAAGGCTGCATCCTATAAAAATCTTTTTTTGTGTGTGTTTTTTTATGGGTTTAGTGTTTCAAACGACACAATCTAGCAGTCCTGCCGACTAAATGCTCCTCTCAGATAAAGTGTGTTGAGTCTACACATGTTCCTTCAAACTGGTGTTTTACTGGTATTCATTTAGAAACAAAAAAGGGAAACTGGAGCGCTGGTCCCACATCAGGCCTAARGACTGCACTTCTCATCAACCCCCGGCTAAGAAACTTTCAGCACAATTTTTGACTTKTTTTTATTAAGTGTGGGCACTTTATTTATTTGACACGTTTATCAAAAAGTTTGACTTTTTTGTTGGTTAAAAAAAATAATAATGATTTTGATGAATGTTAAAAAAAGGGTGTGGAAGAAGCCTGTGCTCGGTAACAAATCTCCATCCCGTGGTGCTGTTCTGGCCACATCTGGATGTATGTGTGATTCCCCCGGCCTCTTCTCGCCACCTTCTGTACTGTACGTCCTCTTCCTCATTCCGGGTTGTACTTTCAGGAAAAACGTCCGCCATCAACCCCCCCCTCAATATGTGCCTCAATGACATTTCACCTGCGTGCATGTGGAGAGAGAGAGAGATGAAGTGAACATTTGTTTTCTACAGATAGAAATGATTGAGGTGTTTGGATCAGAGGTGCAAACATTTTTTTTGGTTCTTTTTTCGTTTTATTTTTTTTTCCTGAAGACAAATCATGACGGGCGACGAGATTCTCCTTTTCCACAGCGTAACGATGACCTTTTGTGCCCTGATTCTGTGGTCTTTATAACTGCATGCCTGTGTTCATTTTGTCATACCAAAGCGACATCTTCGGCATCTGCACACAACCGTCTCATCCCACACAATGCAAAACTGGAACCGTTTGCTCCTCTGCAGATGAATTATGGGTATCCCTGTACAAACTGCAATCCTCATTCAGCCTGTATAGCTTGATTCACACGTGAAAAATCATGAAGCCATAGATATGGGTATATCATACTATATTTCAAATTTGTTGCTTTTTACTTTAGATTTTGTTCTTTACTAAGAGTGACGTGTGTATACCTTCATATATATGAATTTATATTACTATTATATATATTATTTATTTACTCTGTCAGGTTTCGGGGGGTCTTTGCTTTGTAAAAGATCACACTTGAAACTTGAGGTTTGTTTTTTGTTGTGTTTTTTAAATCTTTTTGTTGGGAATATTGTTCATTATGATACTGACTTTATAATGATTACTATCATAATCCTGTGTTTGTAACAAAATGTGCTGAATAATAAAAAAAATCCTGTTTTTACACCTGTTTTGTTCTGGACAGATTTAAGTGCTCTTGTGCAGGTGTATATATAT